TGGCTGAATTATACGACGTAAGAATACCTTTAGTAATCCCTTACAAAGGAAGCCGTCGTGGCGACGATTTTCGTCAAACCGGGCTCATAACCTGATGAAATTGATAACGGCTTATTGTTTTTCTATGAAGGAGTACTGCTACTTATAGTTATTACCAAGCACAATAGGGCTGAGATGCTGAATTCCAACAATTTCAATCGTCATTGTTGAACGGCTAACCTGATTAGGTGGGCATGCTCAAGAGTCGTGTAGCCTCGGGCAGTGAGGCCGGTGGCAGAAGAAGTCAAAGTTACCCCTGAATTTAAGTCTCTTCTATCATCTTGTAGCCAACTCGGCTTGATTAATCAGCACCAAATAGCTTTGTTCTCATACAGACCCACGACTATACCTGGTGTAATGCAAAGGATGCCTCGTAATCCTAATCTTAAAGTCTGAAAGACCATCAGACCAAAGAGCCGACAAGACTTGAAGTTGGATCCTGGAATCATCTCAAAGAGCCCAAAGTGCTGGTCGAATTGACAGATGCTGGACATGAAAATGACGTGCCTATCCGCATGGGAGCTTGCCGTGGACCGACAGAGCGCGACCAACCCGCCTCATCACACCATCGCGCCTTTACCCTGTGGATACGATGTGCGAAATGTCGTGGTTCAAACAAGCGATGGCCTACCCTAGATCTGTAGATATCGATAGGTCTGAGTCCAGGAAGCCGGATGCGCGTCGCCTTGAACCAGATTTGCTTAAACTACTCCTCAGATCCCCACTATTGCGGCAAGGCTCGCTCGCCAGCAACGGACAGTAGCGAAACGAAATGGGCGATCGAGAATACTGATGCAGCATTGGCGTCTATGATGACAGGGTTCCCCTTGGTTATCATTCTGATAATATTGAGCAGGCAAAGTATATACCGATTTCCACACCAACAATACCCTTTTCGAGTCACAAGGTGCACTGGCGGCTTCAGAATGCTGCAGAGCGAGACAATGTCATTCATGCGTCTTTTATCAGACCTCAGCGTAGAGTGTCCAGGAATAACACACCTAGTGTGATCACCTGTAATCCTCACAAATCAAGGTAGTGGCCAGTACCAGCCCAGTAAGATACAGTCAGGACTTTTTGCAGACATGAGCTCGAGATAAGACTTCATCTGGGACACTTCGGACCCGCTTCATCATCACTATATTGTTTACTGACGTAGCTTTATTGGGACAATCAGTACCAGTAGCTAGGGTAAATGTGACGAGATGTACCGTAGACCAGCGCTGGACAAGAGTTTAAATACTAGCAACGAGCAGAGCGGTATTTGGCATTGCGACCCTTGACCACGATGGATGGGTGCGAAGCTTCGGATGTCACAGTATTGACGCAACACCCTAGTAATCGGTCTCATTAGTCCTAAGTTAGTCAGGAGGTTCGGGGCTTCATGGTTCCAGCTTCTGGCCTCTGTCAATATATCTTCAACGGAAATCGCAGCTCTGTAAGGAGATTTGTGTTTATCTGCCATGGAAAAGTCTGCTGTCAGAAGCACAACTTATATCCCATGCTTTCAATGCACGTGAAATTGGTCCGAGTAATCTATAGTCAGCTGACTCAAGTAGCACATTATGGTTTGAATACGAGGTAGCACCTGACATTATGCGGACGACATATAGCGCAAATGGCTTTTGTCTGTAGCTCATCCCTTTCTTCGCTTCCATTGTTTTGGTCGAACTCCTGATTCCTTGGCAGCTTTCTCGTGACTGAAACGACCTCTTCCCATGAAAATCGCTAGATTATTGTATGTATCCGATTTTGGAGTGATAGGTGCAGAAAATTTTCGTCAACTAAACAAACCAGGCAGGCGCGTATGCGAGTGATGACTCCGCTCTCGGTAGCAAAATTTCCCTTACGTCACTGGGATTAGGTACATAGCGACGACAAAGCTTGAGAAACGCGGCCTAGAACAGGCGTGCACTCTCTGAAAGAAGGCAGCATTGAGTATCTTGCGACCACAGCAACTTCGCCAAGTTCTCATCTAAAACGCGAATGTCACTGGCAATTATGGGCCCTACGATAGAGCCTAGTAAGTTCGAGGGAGGTGCAGACTCTGATTGGCAGAAATACGTGGCCCATAGACCTACATACTCCGATTCGTTCTATGATGTCAATTGGGACTACCATCGCAGTCATGGCGATCGACGGAGTCTCGCGCACGATGTTGGCACTGGACCTGGCAGTGTCGCCAAAGTCCTTGCAGGACGTTTCGACAACGTCGTGGCAACCGATCCCAGCGAACATCATACTGTAGTGGCTCGGAAACTTTGCGAGGGGGAAAGTGTCACGGGAGAGTTCACCTATATCCCCTTGTGTCACGAGTGGACTCTCAATTGCTCCTTCTTTGTGCTCGTTGCACTACCATGACGTTCTCACCAGCCACTGTGAAGCAATTATTTTCCTTTCAAGATTGTAAACATCGCACGAGAACAGACCTCAGACTTTCCACTCACCTTGGGTCCCGTTCTGCCCAATACTATACAACTGTACAGAGGTTTATGTATACTGTATTGTACCAGCTTATCACATAGCCAGACAGATTCAGCAAATATGTATGACCTTTACTATCGATGTTCGTGTCCATTGATGATTGCCTAGAAGATCCTGGCTACTTACCGAGAATGTGTCTCGATAGCGAGCAAGGAAGAGTATATTATGCCGCGCTCAGTTATTACCGAGGAGGGATGGAAGACATGATTTTAGCGACCATACTATTCACGCCCACTCGCAGGGCATACCCTTACAACGATCATTTCAGTCTAAGCTAGATGCAGTCTCTGTCGCATTAGACTTCAGAATCCGATTCTTCTGGGTGAATTCCATCTGCATCTTTCAAGATAGCGCAGGACACAAAGCCATCGAGATAAGCAGGATGAGGACAAACTTCCGGAATTCGAGAATTACTGTTACAACAGGCAGCACCGTAATGGTTTTGATGGGGTTCTGCAACCCAGGATCCCATCGACTGCATGTCAGCTTCGGCTTTGCTGCCCTGACGGCTCTATGGGTAGTGTAAGCCTGATGTTCTACCAACACGACAACGCTATGGGGAATCGATCTATTTCAGTGCCTGGACAGTGGACGAGCGTACACTGTCACCTCGGTTTTTATCGTTGGGCCGGAAGGAGATGTCGTGGCATTGTCAGACTGACATCTCAAAATCCACTGCTGGGCTTCATCCAGCGCTCACAGAAAGTTGCATGCGACTGCCTTCCTATCTATTGGATCCTCCATCCGTCAGCAAGCCAGCGTGAAGGTGGGGCCCAACGCGATGGTGGCGGAGAATTGACCAAAGATTGCGACCAATGTTTCATGACCGTCGCGCTACAAACGTAGGAGGCTAAAACGCTGGTGTCCACTAGCGGCTATTACCCGCTGGTAAAATAAGCGAGGTTGATGTGCGAAACAGCAATGACTTCCTTTATACTAAACGTTGTGCTGCAGAAATATAGGTGCTTCAATCGATATTAATGAAGAATTGCCTTGTGAGTTACGAAGAGCAAGTGTGGAGAAGCAGAACTCTTCGAGACATCAACCAGTTTTGTTGTCATTACCATCGAAGGCGAGCTACGAGCATTTAGTGGGTACGACTTGATCTCAAGCGTTCATGGTGCCGATGAATACGAGTATGAAAACGATCCCCAAAAGTAGAAATGTAAGATCAATTTGAGACTCAAGATGTGTTGTACTTCATTGACTGCCTCTTCCCCGTCTCCCACGTCTTAATGCTCAGTCTCAAGAATAGCCTCTATTCTTGTCGCCATGGCATTCACATCAATCCTCAGCGCCCGAGTCCTCTCGTATCTTGTCTTCGCGGCCGTTTGTGTCTTTCTGCTCTTCTCATAACGCTGTATCGAATGCACAGCTCCAGACGGCCGCCTCTAGAGGGTCGGTACCCTAGCACCGACATTTACCTCATTTCTGACAAACCAGTCGGCGAGCTGTGCCTCTCCTCATACGCCGTCAGCTACCGCGGCGCGACGAAGCTGCTCGGTTTTGCGGAGGATAGGAGAGGGTTGATGGATCAGTATATCGTGGAGGTATGCCAGGGTGGTGACCTCAAGTGCGTTATACAGTGGCCGCAGATTATGAGTCAGGTGGGAACGGCGAGCAAGTCTGTGGAGTGTTATGAGGAGTTGAGGACGAGCTGACCAGTGGTTGACTTGCAGTACTCAGTTCTACAAGGGCTTTGGATGCAGCAGTGCTGACTGACGAAACAATGGGAAATCTTCTTCAAGTCCACGCCGGCAGTCTACCTTGATGGAACTGGTAACGTCGTGCTGATGAGAACACTCGATATGCAGGTAAGCAGCCAGTATTGATACTATTCCTGCACTAGGCTTCGTTCATGGTTGCTGACCATTGTCAGTCAATACTTCGACAACCTATAGACCTCTCCGCAACGAGAAATGTAAGGAAACCTCCTCCGTGATCAATCCGACTTAGATGCTATAATCGAGAAAATACCCTGGTTAGTGCTGCTGCAGGCAAACCTCTACGGCGTCCTGGCCGCTGGCTGTGATTCCAATCACTGAAGCAGCGACAGCCGCCCTAGAAACAAACGACCACCCAATGTATCATCCGAGATGAACAAGCACAGGAACAAGGGCAGCATAAAAAATGGAGGTGCGCAATTCTACAAATGACAGTGCTTTGCAAGGGCTAAGGGGCCTGATGATTCTTTTCAGCAACCAGTTCACATGCGAATAGTTTAAGAACAGGATGACGTGGAATACTTCATAATCTGAATATGTTTATCAGTCAATTACGAACGTACTTATCCACAGAAAGTACGTGGTCGATAGCCTCAAGGCCGTTAAACGATAGAATCTTGCATATCAAACAGTCCTTACTTCGTGCATTTCTGTGGCAGCGTCAACCCGCCATGTATTGTGTGAAGTGAGAGAAAATTAAATAGGACAACCCCTACCAAAGGCAATGTTGAGCTGCCCACTTGCAAACCCTACTTACTCCTTCCCATCACCGCCGTCACTACTAATTAGTAGCCGAACAAAGCCGACAAACACCGTCACATCAGCTTCCATCTCTTTTCTGAACCATTGCCTTATCCCAACCGCAACCAAAGAGTCTACGCCAAGCACATGCATCAATTTTGCGGCGTCGGTGTTGCCCTCCTCTGTGTTCAGTATCTTCGACAGCTTTTGAACCAAGGCCTCACAAATCACCTCTGCAGTTTCTGCTGTCGCCTCGGCGCGAGAGGTGTGCTAAGGGGTCAACGATGGCGGTAGTGCCCTCTGAATCGGAAGCGGAGGCTGCAGCGGCGACCAGGTACCAGGAGGCGTGGACTTCGGCCCCGATGGCGGCGGTGAAGGCGCCATGGGACATGTTTCCGAACATCAAGTCCTCGGATCTGTCAGTTCATTGTGTCTATTCAGGTGTTGGGGTCAAGGTAAGCGTGTAATCAAGTACCTCGCAAACCATCGATACTTGGATGTAGCCTTTGATGGGGGGCACGTTCTCTGCACAGTTGGCTAACATAGATTCTGGAGAATGCTTATGTTGCGGGGAGGTGTTTTTCACCTCCACACCCATCGCTCGAATCTCGTCCAGAAACTCGGCGACATCACCACCAGTTGCACCGGAACGAGATGATAGCAGAAGATGTTTTGCCCCGCGATCAACCATCTACCGAGGGATTCGTTGGCCCAAACCTCCTAGACCACCTGCAATCACGTAGCTTCGGTGTTGAGATTTACTGCAGCACCTGTGTTGTAGCTACCCCGCAGGTGGCAAATAGGGGGTATAAGTGGCCTTCACTCAGCACTCTCATAGCTACCAAATCAATCAATACTTCATACATTTCCAACAGGTTATAAGGCCCTCGCGCTGCTACTACGCAGTTATCAATTATTAATTTAATCTTCAAATATTAAATCCAGCTCAGTTGTGGCAACTCCGACGACTTTTTACCACTATTACCACTATTCTTCATTGTTACTAGTATTACCACTATTCTAATACTATTCTACTATTTTTCTACTACGACTACTATTTAACTAAGAGATTATAGCGTATAGAGATTATTACTATTTTATTATAAATTCTATTACGATTATTACTTAAGTAAGAGATTAGAGTATATAGAGATTTTTTAATTATAAACTTTAAGTCTATATCTAAATAGTAGTTAAAGCTTTATTAGTCTTTTAATTAACTAGTATCTAAGAAGTAATTAAAGCTTTATTAATTACGAGTAAAGGTCTATAAATTAAATTCATAATCATTTTTTTTGATTAGGGCTGTCGAGTAAATTTAATAAGCGATCTTTGATAGCGATCTTTAGTGAGCGAACTTTGATGAGCGATAATTGAGACCCTTGCCTTGTGTTAATTATAAGATTAAATTTTAGAATTCTTAAATCTTTAAGGCGCGTAAACTACGCTCTATAATTTAAAAGAAAAATCTTAAAGTTTTAGTAGAAAATAAAAAAGTTATCTTAAATTTAAATAATATATATCTAAACTACTAATTGAAAAGATATAATATAATATAGTATATTAATCTACTATATTATACTTTAATACGATATAAAATATTAATATTTATATAATTTCATATCTGATATAATATGGAATCTTAACGATATATATCTTAGAGATACTTATAGAATTACTAACGTAGACTTAATATCGTATATATCTATCTATAAACTATATAGATTAATTAATATCTTTTATACTATATATATATATAAGTTAAATTATAATAATTTCTTAATAATTAATAGTAATATCTAGTCTTACTTTATAGAATATCTAGGCGTTATTAGACGTTTACGTAAAGTTTACATTAACATCTAATAGTATAACGCTTTAAGCCGAACCTTCAATATACTCGCGTTATCAAGTACCTTTACTGGCCGGAAAGGTATGGGATTTTTTGGACTTAGAATTTTTCAACTTTTACCTCTTTTCTTTAAAGATTTATATCTTTATATTCTATTTATAGAATCTTATAATTCTTGAAGCCCTATAACGAGGCTAGTCTATTTTATACGAGACGATTTTAAAATACGGTAATTTATATATAAAATACCGAGTGGGATTGAAAATATCCTATATCTTTTGAAATGATATCTCGAAAATTGCCTAAATCCCATATTAAATACCATACCTTTCCGGCCACTAAGTATCTTTTAACAAAAATCTACATTTAAATCGATTCTTTTAATAGGTCTATCGATATTATTATACTTTATTCTACTTTAAGAGAATAGTTAATTAGTTAATTAGATATTATCTTATCTATCTCTAATAATAATATACTTATATAAATAATAAACGAGATAATATTTATAAGGCTGAAATTCAGTAGTCGAATAGATATATTAAAGACTAGATCTAGACTTTCTTTATCTATAATTTCATCTACTTAGTTAATTAATTAGTTAATTACTTAATTAATTACTTAGCTAATTACTTAGTTAATTATTTAGCTAATTACTTAATTAATCACTTAATTAATTACTTAGCTAGAGTACTTAGTTAAATAAGAGAAGAAATTATAATAGACAAATGCGGAGAATACTGCGGAGAATACTGCGGAGAAACCAAGCGATAATAAGGTTACCACCATCAAGAACACGGCTCAGCTCTCCAAGATCCCACGTCATATGCTCCTCACAATTCCACGTTAAATCGCTATTTAGCAAGCGGAGAATAACACTACGATTTGGCCTGCTATCTCTGCATACCTAGGCAATATCACATTATAATACATTACTACAATAACGATACAAGAGGAGGACCTACTGCGACGATCATAGCCAAATCACTATAACTATGGCAATTAAACCTCTACAGATAAGGGTTATATCGAATAATATATATTTAAACGAATTAAAACCGTCCGATGTCTTGCTCCGACAGTCATTTCATTATTCAAAAGTTTTTATTCTAGCAGGAGATTTCGTGGGATATACACCACTAATTAGCCCGGTATCTCCACTTCTTTCCGATTTTTCGAAAAGCATACATACATATATACTTCTTATCATGAGAATATGATATTTCCCTATTTTTTGTGGGCAATTGTTATAAGATGCCTTAGGGATACTTATAGGGTTACTAGCGTAGGCTTAGCACCGCATATATCTACCTATAGACTATATAGATTAATTAATATCTTTTATATCATATATATATATAAGTTAAATTATAATAATTTCTTAATAATTATGATATAGTATATCTATAGTATTATATTATAAAATAGTATATATATAAAATATCTTAATTAAGATTTCTATATTTAGAAGTATAAGTAGCTATTTTAATTATTATTCTAGTTAACGACTAATCGTACGACTATAGTATCGTAGTATTTTATTACTATAACTACTACTATTATAACTATTACTATTATAACTATTACTATTATATCTATTACTATTATATCTATTATCGAAATATAATCTTCGCGTATCTTAGCTATTATATTTTTTAGTTATCTAATTTTATACTATATTTAAAATCTAGTTTCGAAGAGATTTTAGAGAATTAATTTATTCGTTCTATATATTATATATCTAATATTTTAATAGCTATTACTACTATAACTACTACTATTATAGCTATTATTATTTTTATTTAAATAATTTATTATTATATAATAGCTATAATAATAATAGTTATAATAGTAATAGCTATAATAGAAATAGTTATAATAGAGATAACTATAATAAAAGTAGTTATAATAGTAGTAGTTATAATAGTAATAGCTATAATAGTAATAGTTATAATAGTAGTAATTATAGTAGTAATAGCTATTATATCGAATTTATCGAATAAATACAATCGTTAACTAGAATAATAACTAGAATAGCTACTTATACTTCTAAATATAGAAATTCTAATCGAGATATTCTATTAAGAAATTATTATAATTTAACTTATATATATATGTGGTATAAAAGATAATAATTATCTATATAATTTATAGATAGATATATGCGATGCCAAGCCTACGCTAGTAACTCTATAAGTATTTCTAAGATATCTTATAATATATCCGCAACTATTAAAATCTCGTCTTTTTATATCTTCTTATTAAAAATTAGATATACGTTATTAATATATAAAATAACTTTTTTATTTTCTATTAAAATTTTAAGATTTTTTTTTTAAATTATAGAACGAAATATAGACTTTTAAATAATAAAAAATCTAAATATAGTCTTCTAATTATTAAAGCGTAAGAAATTCAAATATTGTTTATTAGAGTTCGCTCGACAGCGGAATAGCCCTAATTAAAAAATTGATATATATTATTTAATTTTGAAATAACTTTTTTATTTTCTATTATAATTTTATTATTTCTTTTTTAAATTATAGAATAAAATATAGGCTTTTAGATAAAAAAAGGATTTTTAAATTTAGTCTTATAATTATTAAAAGGCAAGATATTTAAATATCGCTTACTAAAGATTACTTATTAGATTTACTCGATAGCTCTAATTAAAAAAATATTTATAAATTTAATTTATAGACCTTTACTCGTAATATAAGTAATTAAAGAAGTAATAGTTAATAGTATATAAAGTTTAAGAGATAATATATAAAGAGTTAATAGAATTAAAAGAAGAGTTTATTCTCTTTAGCGCTATAAGATTAAAAGTTTAAATAAATTAAATTTAAAGATAGCGCTTTTTATATTAAGTTTAAAATATCTTTTATTTAAATATCATATAATAATTATTAATAATTAAAATATTATAAGAATTCTCTTAAATTTTTTAACTACGTTATAAATAACGAAGTATATAATTTCAAATTTAATAAGAGAAAAGATAAAGTTTAATATTTATTATTATAATATTAAATACGCTATTAATTAAGTAGCGATCTCGCTCTTTATTATTAAAAAATAAAATTATTACGCTAAGTAAAAAGTATAAAATAATTACTCTAATAAATATCGATAGCGAGAAAATATTTATATTATAATCTTTTATTCAAAAAATATAGATTTCTAAATCTAAATACGCGTTAATAATAATATATATTATTAATAATTATTAAATATTCTTAAATAGAAAATATAATTTATTTTTTAATTTTATAAATAGTTAAGAAAGAAAATAAGAGTAAATCTTAAAGGTATATATTATAAATATATAAGAATATAATCTTATTTTTAATTTCTATTAAATCTATAATATCGATTTAAATATTTATTAATATATATAATTTTAGATTTATTATATTTTTTTTATATAAGTAATAAGAAGTAAGTAAATATTATAATAATGAATATAAAGTAATTTACGTTATTAATTAATATAGTAATTATATATATTCTAGAATAAATATTTATTATATTTTTAT